TGAATACAGGAAAGAGTAAGGTTATGAGGATAACAAAAAGATTAGGTGATGAAAGATTGGATATCAGATTGGAGGGAGTGAGTATGGAGGTGGTGAATGTATTCAGATATTTGGGAGTGGACATGTCAGCGGATGGGTCTATGAAAGATGAGGTGAATCATAGAATTGATGAGGGGAAAAGGGTGAGTGGTGCACTTAGGAGTCTGTGGAGACAAAGAACTTTGTCCTTGGAGGCAAAGAGGGGAATGTATGAGAGTATAGTTTTACCAACGCTCTTATATGGGTGATGAATGTTGCAGCGAGGAGAAGGCTGGAGGCAGTGGAGATGTCATGTCTGAGGGCAATGTGTGGTGTGAATATAATGCAGAGAATTCATAGTTTGGAAGTTAGGAGGAGGTGCGGGATTACCAAAACTGTTGTCCAGAGGGCTGAGGAAGGGTTGTTGAGGTGGTTCGGACATGTAGAGAGAATGGGGCAAAACAGAATGACTTCAAGAGTGTATCAGTCTATAGTGGAAGGAAGGCGGGGTAGGGGTCAGCCTAGGAAAGGTTGGAGGGAGGGGGTAAAGGAGGTCTTGTGTGCGAGGGGCTTGGACTTCCAGCAAGCATGCGTGAGCGTGTTTGATAGGAGTGAATGGAGACAAATGGTTTTTAATACTGGATGTGCTGTTGAGTGTGAGCAAAGTAACATTTATGAAGGGGTTCAGGGAAACCGGCAGGCCGGACTTGAGTCCTGGAGATGGGAAATAACAGTGCCTGCACTCTGAAGGAGGGGTGTTAATGTTGCAGTTTAAAAACTGTAGTGTAAAGCACCCTTCTGGCAAGACAGTGATGGAGTGAATGATGGTGAAAGTTTTTCTTTTTCGGGCCACCCTGCCTTGGTGGGAATCGGCCAGTGTGATAATAAAAAAATTTTCCCACTATGGAGGTTAGGCTTATTGGTCTATACTTCGAAGCTAAGGACCTGTCACCTGCTTTGAAAATAGGTATCACATTTGCCATTTTCCACTTATCTGGCACCATGCCAGTTTGTAGTGATATGTTGAAATGATTAGCCAAAGGTTTGCTAAGCTCCTCTTTACATTCTTTTAGAACCCTTGCATACAGTTCATCAGGGCCTGGGGATTTGTTAGGTTTTAATTTATCTATTTGCCTAAGGACCATGTCACTTGTGACCCTAATCGTGCAGTTTATTATCATCCTGTTCTACATAATTTATCATTTCTGGAATCTCGCTGGTATCCTCCTGTGTAAAAACAGAGGAAGTATGTGTTAAAAATTCTACACATTTCCTTATCACTGTCAGTGAGCTGACCCGAGTAACTTTTGAGTGGGCCTATCTTGTCCCTGATCTTACTTCTGTATACCTGAAAGAATCCTTTTGGGTTAGTCTTCAATTCTCTTACAACTTTAACCTCAATCTCTTTTTGCTTTTATAATTCCCTTTTTTATTTCTCTCTTTAAGCCTTTCAGGGTCCGTCCCGTAGATCTACGGCTTTACGGTGAGTGTCCAAACCGTAGATCTACGCCATGAGCTCAGCTCACTCTGATAAACTGTGAGTGGTACATTTGGGCCTAGATATGAGAGAATACATCTATGTGGTATGTGTGCACCACATAAAACAGATCCTGCAGCACACTGTGTATAATGAGAGAAAAAAACTGAAATCATGATTTTTCGATTAAAACAGCAACTTTGCAGTGTTTTTTCGTATGTTTTTTATAGTTGTATTTGCGATTTCTTGGTCTCATTTGATAGAATGGAAGACATATTACAGAAATAGAGATGATTTTGATTGGTTTTAGCACTGGAAATGGCTTGAAACTGAGCTCAAAGTAGCGGAAATGTTAAATTTTGCCGATATTCAAGAGTAAACAAACGACCTCACACGTCTAATACACGTAAAGCTGGTGGGTCTAATATACATTCACAAATATGGTGATGATATTTATACAATTATTACAGTATTGCATAACAGTAAATCTTCTATTTTTTGGTGTGAATAAAAATTCATTATGTGAATAAAAAATCAAAATGGAATTTATTTGTAAAGCCTCAAAACATAACTAATGAACAGAGGAAATGTTAGTTTAGTGCCAGGAATGCCTACATTGTTTATTCTGGACCCTATTTTGAAATTGGAATATTTTGAACTGTGTTAAATTGGCCAAATTAACAATTTCCGATCACTTTATTTTGTAGTTGAAACAGCTGACTTGGCGATTTCTTGTGCTCAATCGATAGAATAGAAGTAATACTAGTGAAATAGCTAAGAATTTGGTTGATTGGAATAATGTAATTGGCCTAAAATGGGAGTCAAAGTCGGCAAAATCGCCGATTCGTAAATATCGCTGACACATCAAAATTCGCGAGAGCATAATTTCGTCAATTTTCCACCAAATTTCGTACTTTTTGTTTTATTACCTTCACAAAAAGATTCTCTACGATTTCATAGGAAAAAATAACAATTTTTTTTTTTTTAAAATTCTTGGACACTGGTGCGTGACTCCAGATTTGGGCCTTGGACCCTGAAAGGGTTAACTGAATATATCGATTTCTTAATTGCCCATCTCCTCTTTTGATTTGCCTATATATGCCTCTCTTTTGACCAATCAGATATTTTAATCTATTGTTCATCCATTTAGGATCATTTTTGTTTGATCTGATTTCCCTATTTGGAACATAATTTGACTGAGCAGCTAGAACTATGCCCTGGAAAGCGTCATATCGGCAACCATTCTCAGTAGTAGTAACCAGTTACCAGTAACCAGTGTACCGTTGAGTCAACGGTACACTGGTTACTGGTAACTGGTAGTACCCTTAGTCAGGTCATTCCAGTTCAGCCCACCTAAGTAATTTTTCAGTCCTATGAAATCAGCAAAGCAAAAGTCAGGGACGGAGACTTGATTGCCATTATTAGGGGAATTCCATGATATATTAAAACTGAGTAATTTGTGATCACTTTCCCCAAGCTCATCATTAACCTCAAGCTTATTAATTAGTGTTTCCCTACTGGCAAGAACCAAGTCAAGGAGGTTATTTCCCCTAGTTGGCTGTCACAAACTGTTTTAAAAAACAATCCTGGATTGTATCAAGAAAGTCACCTGACTCTAAATTTCCTGTCAAATTGCTCCAGTCAATCTGTCTATAGTTGAAATCTCCCATTAGCACAACATTTTCGTATGTAGATGCCTTACGAATTTCGTCCCATAGAAGTTTACTGCACTCCCTATCAAGATTTGGGGCCCTGTAAATCACACCCAAAATTAGTTTTTCTCAGCCCTCGAGAAGCTGTAACCAAACAGATTCAGTGGCCGACGCTTCTAATTTTATATCTTGTCGAACACAATTTAAATTGTCTCTGACATACATCGCTACTCCACCACCCTTCCTGTTGACCCTGTCAGTGTGGAATAATTTATAGCCTTGTATGTGACATTCAGAGGGCATCCCTCTATCTTTCAGACTGAGACAGGTCTCTGTTATAGCAATAATATCCATGTTTCCTGCACTTGCAATTAATCTTAGCTCATCTATCTTATTTCTTACACTCCTGCTATTAGTATAGTAAACCTTAAGGGAGTTAGTCCCTTGCTGCCCTCTGCTGTCCCCCTTTGTTTGCTGACCTGATCTATTGCCTTTATTTATAACTTAATGCTGAATGCCTTTTATACATGTAAATTATGAACAATAGGCCTAAAACTGACCCTCGTCGATGGCTCCCATTCAGATTTCACTCATTTATGCAAACTCACAAGAACAGTTTATTGATCTAATTCCACCATGTATCTATTATAAAGAATAAGGTAGCACAATCTTGCTAACTTATCTAATTTTACCAAATGAAAGTAGGCTTATAATACTGCATTCATAGAGAACAAGCAAGATTTAACAGGATTTAACTTAATTATGGTTAGCAGTAATCTAAAGCCAAGACAACAGTGTAAGTATTCACAAGCAAGATAAGATGATTCTTGGCTTCATATTAAGTGTAAAAAAACAGGATTCCAAGTTATACACAACTATAAATCACTGGTAAGGCCTCGTTTAGATTATGCTGCACAGTTCTGGTCACCGTATTACATAAATGCTCTGAAAACAGGATGACAAAGCTGATCATGTATCAGAAATCTCCCATACAAGGACAGACTGAGGTCACTGAATATATATTCTAGAAAGGCATAGAATTAGAGATGGACATGACCGAGGTATATAAATAGAAGACAGGGATAAAAATTATCCCATAAATATCAAAATATCTAACCAACACAGGACTCGTGGCCATGGGTTTAAATTGGAAAAAAACGTAATTTAGAAAGGATCTAGGAAATCATTATTTTGGTATTAGCTGTGGATGAGTTCCACCAAGTAACGTCATTAAGCGAAACTGCGTGTAGCTTTAAGAACAAGTTAGACAGGTACACGAGTGGGGAAGTGGATGGCGAAATGTGACTTCAACCTGCCTAGCATGGTCCTGTAGGCCTGCTGCAGTATTCTTTTTTTACCTTATGTTCATGGGGGCAGTGTATGTGGAAAGTCAAGTAAGGAAACTTCATCAAAGAGGTTACCCCCTGTCATCAAGAGGCCTTTACCAGCAAAAGGCCAATAGTCTATAGGCCTAGACCTATGCTCAGTGAGCCAAGATTCCAGCCTAAGTCCCCGATTCTTAAGTTTAGTTTCGTATTACGTAAATCCTAGTAGGCTCTAATTCTAAATATTTAAAATGCTTCTCTTTTTAATTCTGAACCAACTAATTTTTATCTAAAAATTCAACGGAAGTCCGAGAATGAAACTTAGCACATTCGGTACGAGGAGCTTCATTTCCACACACCTTAATTTTAACCCAATAATAATCACACCATTGTTGTACTCGTATTTAATTCCTTTGTTACATTTGGTGTAAACCCCTACACAAGACTAGCACAAATACATATTAATTTATAAAGGGATGACGATGATAACGGGAGATAAATGAGGAGGAATGTATGAAGTAGACTCACCCATGGCTGCTGCGGCTGGTAGAGGAGAGAGGAAGCTCAGGCTGCGCTGCTACACCACAACAAACCTCATGACTCAAGAGTGACGCACGATGCGCAACTACGCAAATCAACATTAAAAAAAACGTATGTTAGTAAGTTTATTTAGGCACAGGTACACACAAGTACAATTATCATACGTAGTGTATATTACTTAGGATAACCCCAAAAAAGTCAGTGATTTATTTCCATTGGGGTACTTGTCAATTTTGATTACGGTTATACGTTGAAGCAGTAACTGCATGACTGATTTCTGCTGTATCTGACAGCTAGGTTTTAAATAATAAGATATTACAAGGACCCTCAATGGAAATAAGTCACTTTATCCAAGGTAATTTATACATATGTTAGTACCCCAATGGAAATAAGTCACTCTGACTTTTTTGGGTTATCCTAGGTTCTCTACACATATGCTGCTATGTATGATAATTCTATGTAACTATTGTGTATACCTGAATAAATTTACTTACTTACTTACTTACTAGTAAGCAAGTACGTTTATTACGGTAGAGGTACACATAAGTACACCTATCATATATATTGTAAATTATCTAAGATAACCCATAAAAAAGTCAAGTGACTTTATTTCCACTGGGGTCCTTGTTACTAGGTATGATAATTGTACTTATGTGTACATGTACCTAAATAAACCTATATATATCTTCTTAAGAAGGGGGTATCTGAGCTGCAATGTTGGTGCGCCTCTGGCAAGACAGCGATGAAGTTACTTAAAAGGAATTTGCTACAAGGAAACTACTTTTCAGTTTGGTACGTTTACGTACGACTGCTTTATTGAGCCAGTTCCCTTCCATATCCTGTCTATCCTACTTAGATCATGTATGTCTAACTTTCATTTAAACACTACTACCACGTTCCCAGTCCACCTGAAGTTTCATACTTCAGACTGAATTATTATTATAATAAAAAAGAAGCGCTAAACCACAAGGGCTATACAGTACTTCAGATGCATGAAACCCATCCTGTGTGATGAAATATGACAGGAAAATTTGGCTAGCTTTTGTTTTCACTTTGCAATTGTCATATAGAGTAGGGTAGCAGCACACCGATAGGTGGCTCAATATGTAGCAGCTTCAGCTTACACACTCAGGTACTGGGATTCGATACTCTGACGAATGGAAATAGGTTATTTCCTTTGGGGTCCTTTAAT